TTTTTCAGGGAACTGAATCGTTCTTTTTTTTTTTCTTTTTTTCAAATCATCCGTTTCGTTTGATCTCGATAGTACCGGTTTTATTTGAGTTTAAACTCACTTCAGTGTAAATTCAAATCGTAGAAATATCTCGGGAGAATCACATCTCTTTTGGTTTTTTTTAATTTCATCGACAATGACTGGAATTTTTCTCGATCTTTCAATTTTATCGCGTTCGAACGATAATATCGATTTCAAAATTAGCACAGTGTGTTTCTTTCTATCACGCTATTTCTCGAAATTTCCATCAGAAAATTTATTTCGACGGTTCGTCGAATTTTAGTTTTTTTTTTTCTTTCAACGATTCCACGAACATTCCGTATCCTTTGTCGAGAAAGAGGAACAATATTTCGTCCTCTCGCATGATGTTCCGATGGCGGTTTGTTGAATATAAGTCGAGTGAAAGGCAAATATAGACGTGACCTGAGGTTTTTTTTTTTTTTCGTCGATGGTTACGAAAATCCAACAATCAAGAACAAAAATGTTTTTCGAGAGAGTGTGTAGAATCCACGGGACAACGAAGTGTACACAGATACACGTGGCGCATTCAAAGCTGTAACAATGTCGGTCGAAAATGAAATTTGTACGAACAATATGCGAACCTATTGACCCGAAAGTGTACAGTTTTCTTCAGCACGGCTCGCAATTCGTTGATTGTCGTTTTCTCTAAGTGATTTAATCTGATTTATTCGCCCGTTCTTCGTACTTTATAATTTGTGTCTGCCCCGGAGGAACTGGAGGAGAGACCCGCCATAACTACGCCCCGCGAGGCTTATAAATTATCGAACAGCATACCGAAGTAGATGTGAGATTCTTAAAATCGGACTGCTTTAGGGGCTCTTAATCTTCACTATCCTTAACTATCTCGAATAAAAAAGAAAAAAGAAAAACTAACGAAAAATAATTTTGGGATAAATTTCAATCTACCATATTTCTTTCCTTATTATAATTTTCATTTAATACACGGTATTCTAAAAAAAAATTATTCCTTCGACGAATTACAATTTACTATATCATCTTTGCTTACTATAAATTTTTCACTAATATACTGTATTTTCAAAAAAATACATTTCAATCTGTTTTTATCTCTTCGCTA